ACATATCTCTAGACCATTTTATATATGTATGTATAAGCATATGTCCCAGTTTATGGCTTAATGCTTCACTTTTATGATATTGTTTATAAACATATTAAACTTAGTATTATTGAATTGATAGTAGTCTCCCGTTTTTTGTATTATTACAATATCCTTCACTACCCCCAAAGTATTCATCTCTATCATCTGTAAAAGTTTTTAAATTTTCTCTTTCTGCAATTGTATATAATCCTTCTGGAATTGATGAGATATTGATTTGACTTCATTTACTTGTTATATTGACACTCAATTACTCCAGTGTGTTAATCAAAGGACCCTTGTTTCCCCATTGACCAGTAGTGTCCAGGTCAGCATGTGTGCATAGTTCTGCACTGTTCAGCCTATTTGTCTAAGACTTGTATAAGGATTCTTGCTCTCTTACAAAGTCCCCCTACTTATTCTTTAGTAAATATGTTGGCTGTTGTTATCCCTTGTACTTTGATAATACATTTTAGAAGCCACTTGTCAAATATCACCAAAAAGTTTGTAGGAACTTTTACTGGAACTACAATGAATCTATAAACCACTTCAGGAAAAACTAAAGTGTTTAGGATATTGACTCTTGCCTTCCATGAAGATGGTATATCTTTCTTTTTATGTAGGTCTACTTTTATATCTTTCAGTACAATCTTACAATATCCCTTATACGTTACACATTCTTGTTAGATTTATTTCTAGGCACTTTATAGTTCCAATACCTTTGCAAATCCTATCTTTTAACAATTATCATCATCATCGAGATGTAATTCACAGGCCAAAAAATGCACCCATTTAAAGTGTAGAGTTTGATCATAGCATATTCACAGAGTTGTGTAACCATCAGCAAAAAATATAAGTGCAGAACACTTTCCTCACTCAAAAAAACAAACAAAAAAACCTTTTTCAGACATTCCCCACTCACCCCACTCATCCCTCCACCCAACCCCTGGCAGGAAGGGACGGTTGAGTGAGAGTGTGAATAAAGGAATTTATACTCTTGTAAGCTTTGCGGCGGACGGTTGCCTGGCCTTTGGTCTTTGTTTAACGATTTTGTTGTCTTCCCCTCTGTTGCTGTTTCCTCCCTGGTCTTCAGGCTGCTCTCCTCCATCCCTGTCCATCCTCTGGGCCTTACCCACATGTCTGTTGCTATCCGCTTCCCTCAGCCACTCCCCACCTGAAAGCCAGGCTGATGACCTGAGCAACTCAGAAGCCAGCTTCTGGGCTGTGGCTCTCCTGTGAGTTGGAGAAGGCCTCTTCCAGGCCTCTGGTCTCCTGCAGAGGACTCAGAATGTAAACACAGATGACCTGATTATCCCCGCCACTTCCTCCTGCATCAGAGTTATCTCAGGTTAATTCAGGGAAGAAGCTAAATTAAGCCTTGAAACCTAGCAGCCTCTGTGACAGGCACTTTGTTGTGCTTGAGTGACTGCCATGATGGGTCTTTGGTTATAAGGGCAGCACTAATTGCATCTCTTAAGACTGACCTTGGCCATCTATTCCCTGCCCCGCAGAGATGGGGAGATGCCAGAAACCTTATAGTGCCTACTGCTCATTCAGCACAGCCTCCCAGGAGCCTGCTCCATGCTAGCACCAAAGAGGAGGGGACTCAAAAGCTCCCCCACTCAGGACTCAGTCTTTCTAAGACAGCAAATAAGAAGCAAGAGACCCTGATAAAGAGGTGACTGGTATTTGGAGAGATTTCCCTTTGGGGCAGAAGAGGGAGTCAGCTTCTGGGGTACTTTATACCTTTTTATGACTTTGTGCAAAGTCTGGACCATAGAGTCACCAAATTAAGGGTGGGAAGCATTGATCAGTCCCACACTTATCCACAAGCAGGTGCCACTGAACTGAAAAACTGTTGACTATGCTGGGGATGTAGCTAAGTAGTAGAGCACTTGCCTGGCATGTACAAGGCCCTGGGTTCATCCCCAACACCACCAAAAAAAAAAAAAGTCAAATTGTTTAGCACTAAAGTCAAACATATGTGTGCTGTATGTCCCATCCCTTCCTCTGGGTATACGAAGCTCATGGGAAATTGCACACATTTAAATTTTACATCAAAAGAAACAGGAACTCTGTGCTTTAGACTCTAGCTGAAGTGTGCATGCTGCAGTATTTAAAGGGAAGGGTAACAGTATCTGCAGTTTACTTTGAAATGCACCAAAAAGAAGGTGAGTGACTAAGCAAGTACAGCCCATAACACCCAAGAGGTGTAAGCAGTGGAGCTGGGGGCGGGGTGAGTGGGTGGACACTGTGTCGAAAAATCTTTACATAAACTCTTGGGTAAATGTATACATGTGTTCGCCAGAGACACACACAGAATGACGCGCACAGAATGTGCACAGCAGCATTATTCTGTAGTCCCAAACTTGAGGCATCCCAGAAGCCCATCAACAGTAGACTAAATACGTGAATGGCGAGTGTCTCCATACAGTGAAATACTGTTCATAAAGGAGAAGGAGTGCGCGCAGCTCCACACAGATAGGAAGGTGAGTCTTACAAAATAGCATTGGGAGAAAGAAGTCAGGTTCGTAAAGGAACATACTATGCAATTCCATTTATATAAAATTCAAAGCCAGGCAAAACTATCCTATGGTGTTAGAAGCCGTGTGATGGTTTCAGGAGAAGAGTGAATATGGGACTGGGTGGGGCAGCATGGGAGGCCCCTGGGTGCTAACCAGCTCTGTTTCTTGATCCTAGAGCTAAGCTCATGTATCAAGCTGCACACTTGTGCACTTGTCTGTGTGTTCATGATGCACGGCAAAAACTATTCAACGGGAGGAAAGAAAAGAGAGAGAGAACCAAACAGAGGCTTATCTTAGCTGACCTGCGAGAACAGCAAGCCACTCAGAGCCTGTCTAGCAAACTCAAATTGTGAAGGACGGGAAACTTGCCTTGGGGTCACTCACTCACTCACTCATCGATGTGCACTTCATCTGCACAGCTCCTCTAGGCTTCTTGGCATGCATGCGTCCGTACAGATGTCTGTCCACGTGGGCAGTGTTCCAAATCCTGAGCCATGGGCAAGGCCTGGTCCAGCCCTCTCAGGGTTTGTGTGCACAGTGGGAGGAGCCTGAGATGCTTCATTTGTCAGCCACAGGCTCGCATTCCTAGGCTCCCATTGCACCCTTCCTGGATATGTTTCCTGAGATGTCATTCACCCCTGCACCGTCAGGAGTCTCCAGAGACACAGAACCAGGAGGAGATATATATGTGTGTTCGAGTGTGTGAATGCGCCTATGTGTGTGTGCGGTTGTGTGAAGGGCATGTGTTATAAGCAACTGACTCGTGATTTGGAAGAGCAGCAAGCCCTCACATCTGCAGGCTAAGTCAGCTGCAGGAATCCCAGAAGGGCCAATGGTGTAGTTCCTTCCAGATCCTTCCAGTTTGAAGGTCTGCAGGCTCAGGACCCAGGAAGAGCTGACAGAAATTCAAAAGTTCAAGTCCAAAGACAGGAAAAAGCGGATGTCTCAGCTTAAAAGGAGCCAGGCAGGGGAATTCTCTTACTCAGGGGCATGTCCACCTTCGCTGTCTGCTTTTCCCAGCCCATCCACTCAATCTCATCCAGAAACATCCTCACACCACACCCAGAGAGAATAATGTCTGACCACATATCTGGGCACCCTGTGGTCCAGTCTGGTTGTCACATAAAACTAACCACATCCCAGCCCTACAGGATGAAAAGCCCCTGGGTATACAGAGTCAGAGGAAATGCAGCCCAGGGCCCCCGTGTGCCTACACCCCATCCCTTAAGGTACTTTTTAATATGGTTTGCACTAGTAATTGATAGGAAGGGAGGTTCCAGCTGACTGCCACGCAGCCCGGATGGCCACCTTAACTGCCCTGAAAAATAAAAAATAATTGTGGTGATTGCAAAATATATCAGAGACATAAGGGAAAAGCCAAAGCATGCTGGCAATTTAAAGAATGATGATAAAAAGAAGCACCCAAGTGCCCACACCCAGCTTAGCCGATGACCAGTGTCTTTGAAGGTCACTGGTGTCCCCTGAGCTTCTGCCTGGAGGAAGCCGCTCTCCTGGGCTTTGTGTTCATCATTCCCTTAATTTTTATAAAAGTCCAAGTCTACACCGGCGTGCTCTTTGGTCTTGTCTGTGTTGAGCATTTATGAATTGAATCAGGTTGTGCTGGGCTGTGCTTTTGCCCCCTGGTGTCTGGGCTTCGTCCCGCTGTCCTGGGTGGCCGTCCGGCTGTTGTGGATAGTCCCTGTGGTAAAGCCTGCATGTGGCCTTCTGCTTACCTCTGAGTGCACCTCTGGGCAGCTCCCAGTCCTCTGCTATGGCACATGAGGCTGGGAGGAGCATTCCTGCCCGTGTCTCCAGGTGTGCAAAAGCAAGGCCACCTCCCAGGTATACAGCTGGGAGAGCAGGTGTAGAACATGTAGAGCCTGCACACTTCCCACATGGTACCAACAGAGGATCCCACCAGAGGCCGTGAGAACCTCTCCTGGAGCTGCCCCTTCTGTGTTGCCCTTGGGCCTCTAACAGCCTCTCTGGGCCCAGTGGATCACTTCTCTTGGGTCCTGCCTGCCCCTGCCCTTATCATGCTAGCATTTCAGAATGGGTGACAGTGACACTCTGCACCCTTCCTGAGCATGCAAGACAGCACATTCCACAGGTATGACACAGCATGTGAGAGTGTGTGACCTTCTCGCCATCGTGGGGGAAACTCCTGAGTGTCCGTGTGACTGCTGGGTAGCTACTGGTTTTCTGTGTCCAGGGAAATGGGAAAACAAGCTCCACAGAGTCACACAGTCTCAGGACATTGCCCCCAGGTCCATAAGCCATGTTCCTCTGACTCTTGGTGGCCAAGAGCGCAGTCTCCAGGCCGGGCTCAGCCTGTGTGCCATCTGTCACCCCACCCAGGGTCTAGCCGCAGCCTGAGCTTGCCAGCCCTGTACCCCACCCAGCCGCACGGAGGGTGCTGGGAATCATAACCTGTGTGCTGCCTTTTCCCACCTACAGGTTAGCCTGACGCGGAAGATAAAGACATTTGCAACCAAGATGGTAATCACCAGTGGAAATGACGAGGACAAAGGAGGCCAAGAAAAAGAGAGTAAAGAGGAAAGTGTCCTGGCGATGCTGGGCATCATTGGGACCATCCTGAACCTCATCGTCATCATCTTCGTGTACATTTACACCACCCTGTGAATGGCCCAGAGCCCCTGGGGGCCTCGGGATGGCCTCGAGACAGGAGTCCTGTGGGTTCACAGGTCAGTGACCAGAGGCCGTGAGGACAGGAAGCTCGACCTACACACCCCGCTCCATCCAATGCACCCTCGAACTTTATAAAAAGGTCACAAATAAACCGATCCTGCTGCAAGGAGCAGACACTAAAGCACAATGAACCCAACAAAACTCATTCACGCCACAAGGAACTCAGCGTCTTTGGCGGGGGGCCCAGGAGGAGGCTTGGAAGACCAGCCTTGGGCACCGGTGGTGAGCGCATGGGTGCAGAAATTCATCATCCCAGATCGCTGACGACACCGTGCTGGAAAAGATGAACGGGGCAGGCGCAGCTCAGCTGAGCATCTCCCTGGACCAGCGTTCCCTCCGGTCTCCTTGAGCGGTCGAGTGCAGTAGACCACGGGGCAGTCCTCCAACAGGCATCCCATTCATCACAAGTGTCTAACTATTTGATACCTGGGAGATGACTTATTTTTCTTTTTTCCATTGGCTTGATGTGTGTATCTGTTCATATCAAGGTTTATAAATATATATTTTTAATAAATGTGCTCTATTTTTTAGCATGAACCAAATATTTGGAGAGGCACTTCTAGATGGATAGTGCTTCCCTGCTTTTAACCGCTTTGCCCGCTCATCTGCAAAAGTTCTTTTCTGTATCCATTCTAGTCCTCTGGTCTCCTGTTGAATCTTTTACCTTTGCACTCTTGTTTCTCTCTCTCTCTCTCTCTCTCTCTCTCTCTCGTCAGGAGGACATTTTTCCATACTACCAACCATGGTCTTTGTTGGTGCATGTTGTAAGAGTGTCCATTGAGCGGCTTTTTGTTATACTGGAGATATAAAATGATCGTGGGCATGCAGGCCATAGATGCACCCTATCTGTACCGAGAATTATGCATGAACATTGGCTGAGTGATCGGTGAGCTGTAAAGAAATTTCAAAGGACTACCGTTGAGGAAGAGGAGTGTGGCTCTAATGGCAGATGGACTCCTGGACAGAACATTCCAGCGTCTTACTGGCTGCGTTGTTATCTCATCCTCGTAACCATTCGTTTATCAGGTTTGGGTTTCCAGGACTGAGAGGTGGGAAGGGCCGAGGTGGGGGCTCAGCATTGGGTGCCCTAGACAGACGTCCTGGTCCTCTTTAAAGCTGGCAGGGTATAAATGACATACACCCTCCCTATTGCGAGGACACCCTTGGGACAGCAGCCTTTCAAGGGCAGTAGAAGGAGGTTCCGTGATGGCCCTAACAGATTGCTGCGTTTCTTGGAGCTCTTGGTTTTCACCTACGTGGAGTACCTCCTCCCTGGCAGGTGGAGTGATACAGACTCGCCCTCTTCTGGTTGCCCGTATGGAGCCCTCGCCTGCCTGCAGTGCCTGGCCTTAAAATGAGGGTCCCTGATCTTTCTGCCAGTCTGCCTGGTTGACTTTAAATGATGCCAAGGAGGTCTCTGCCTCCTGTCTTCCCCTCCTTCCCGAAATTCCACCAATAGAGAACCATTTCTTGGGCTCTGCCAAGGGACCAGACTCTTATAAAGCAAATGCCCCTGAGCACCTTTCCCTGACACCAATTGATCAGGTACCTTCCCTTCTCTTCTCCAGAAGGAGGGAAGCTAAGGTGTGTTGAGGCCACACTGGGTGCCAGGCAGGCACTTGGTATGCAAGTCACGGAACCCTCCTCGTAGCCGCGTGAAAGAGGGAGTCTTTCCCCATGTTGTAGAAGAGAGATCGGGAGACTCCCCAAGATCCTGGGGCTGGAGTGGAGTCAGAACTCCAACCGCCTTCCGTCTGGTTCCTTAGCTGAGTGAGGCCCAGGTGGCTGGAACAGAGAGGACGTGGAGGTGAGGAGGTCCCAGGAGGGTCAGGACTCAAAAGCCCGTCCTTCTGCTGAGGTCCAGCCCTGCACACCTCCCTCCCCCTCCCCAGTAAAAGTAAACCACCCCTGGGAGCTCCTCAGGCTCTAGCAGGATGTCCCACAAATCAGGACAAAAGGGTGGTGAGAAATAAAAGAGCTGCCAGGGAGAGGGGCTCTCTGACCGGTGTGTGTGACTCTGGAAAGACCATGTGAAATTCCAACAGTGAACAGATAAACAATAAAGGTGCAATGGAAAAAAAAAAAAAAAAACTCTTAGTGCCCTTTGTTTTCGTCCAGGTGCCTTTGCCTATCCCTATTTTTAATTTTATTTTAAAAAATAATCCAAAAACTTGAATGTGATTCTTTTAACACATTCGTTTGGTTAGGCCTGCAGAAGCCCCCGTGATTTTTTTTTTCCAAGTACACTAATTTCGGAATTTATTGAGGGGAACAACTGTCTTTGCAATCCTCAAAACAGCTCCCTGTGGTTCTTCCAGGTGGTCCTGATCCACAGTCCCTGGCAGTGCATGCCAAGCCCAGCAGGGACCAGGAACACAGCACTCACAGCCCCCATGTCTGCAGCCCTGTGAGGAGGTGGAGAGAGAAGCTGCCCAGGGCTGGCTGGCCACCAGCTGTCACCATGTACCCGAGCCCCAGCTGGCCTTGACCAACTATGGCAATATGTAACATGACACCAGGGCTCTATCCCAGCACTTAGACTCTCCTGTGGGACACAAGACAATCCCACCATACCCTTGCACTTTTTCTTATGTTGCAAGATGCAGGAAAAGTCTCCGAAAGGTGAATTGGCTTTTCTGAAGCCACGTGGCTGGCACAGCAGAAGCAGATCACCCCCACAAGAGAGAGAGTGTCAGTACCTGCTGGCCACAGCTGTGGGCTTGATCTCTCTCAGAGCGGGCTGGATGAGTCTCACAGTAGATTCCCCTGACCCCGCCACTTCTTTGCCACAGCCCAGCTGACCCAGAGAGTGTGGCTGAACTGATGCTCCTCACTGCTGCTCCTGGAAAGCCGCTCAGAAAGCCAGAGTCCCTGCAATGGGGGTCAGGCATGTGGCTGGCCGTGAACACGATGTAGTGGTCTTGACCCGAAGGGTGCTTGTCCTGTGGCCAGAAGCCACCTGATCCTGAGTCCCATCTCTGCCTCTTGTGATTCGAGTGACCACAGGCACCTCACCATCCTGGGGTGATTCGAGGGACTCTGGGAGGTCCATGTGACAGAACCCCCTGAGGAACAGCACCTGGCCTGGCCCCCGTAAATGCCCAGGGAGCAGAGAGCTCCAGCTGCCACATGAAGGCAGTTGGGGCGCTGTCGGGAAGGTACTGCAGAAGGTGCGGCAGGTCTGTGGTCGCGAGTGTTTGCCCCCAAATCCCATTCTGTAGGCATTTTCCTCTCATTTATCTGATGTAGACGGTGCAACCCAGGATGGTGAGCCAACCCACCTGGGTTGCAGGTACCCTGTTCTCCACTTTTGCAGCCAAAAAGCTACATTTAAATCCTCAGGGAAAGAGCCTCAAGTGGCCTAAGGCTCAGTGGCGGGGAGAGGACGCCAAGGACTGTTAAGTTCATTAGGAGGGATCTGGACCCTGCGAAGAGGATGGGAGGGGTGGGGCAGAGACACCCTTCTCCTAAGATTGTTTTTTCTTTTGTTTTAACCAACTGAGCAAAGTCACATAGCTTGAAAGTCAAGGTTCATAGTGGCTTTAAAATAATAATAATAATAAAGCTCCTGATTCCTGATGGACTGCAAGGTTGTCCTGTTGCCTGTGTTTCTGTGATTTCAGAACAGTTTTGAGGATCCTAAGCCGGCAGGAGTATGGTACCCAGGCCCTGAGGAGCACAGCCTTGGGGCCTCTTCTGGCCTGGCTCCTCCAGCTTGCAGGGCACCCTCTCCTGCAGGGAGGCCAGAGGGCACCTCACAGCAACCACAAAGGAGGAAGATGACCAGCTCAGTCCTTCCTTGCCTTTCTGTAAGACACATGCATGATCCCGGGTGAAAGAGAATCATAATTTTAAAATGGGTCCAGTGGCCCACGCCTGTCATCCCAGCCACTTGGGAAGCTGAGACAGGAGGATCTCATGTTCAAAACCAGCTTCAGGAACTTAGCAAGACCCAGAGAGACCCTATTTCTAAATAAAATATATATATTTTTTTAAGGCTGGAGATGTGGCTCAGTGCTTATGTGTCCCTGGGTTCAATCCCCAGAACCAAAAGAAAATTTTAAAAGAATTCCAATCTTAGAAAATTCTATACAAATCCTTCTTTAAAAAAGAAGATCATCCTCAGATCTCGCCACCTAGAGTGGCCACTTCTCATACTCGGTGTGCGAGTTACAGACCTGTGGCTTGTGGTCTGTTTGGCGAGTTTATTCTCCACCTTTTAAATTACTTTGCTTTTTTGGCAGGAACACGCTTTCCTCCGCTGTCCCTGTGTTCCTTGTCATTTTACGGTGGACAGCATCCCACATTTCTGTGCTAGGTCCAAAGGCAGTCAAGGTGACATCCTTGAATGGACATCCAGACGCCTCACCATCAGCACTAGGTCCCATACTGTAATTTACAACATGGCCTCACGCTGTGACCACTGCTCCCAGGTCACTTTGTCATGAGCATTTATGGGCACACTTCCATTCAGTGGCAGGGTCTGTCTGGGGTTCCCTTTAGATGGACCATCACAGATTTCCCTGCTCTCTTTCGATGGGACCTTAAGGTTCTTGTCGGTGTCTTGCCATAATTCAGCCTGTTGTTTAAAGCATCCAAGTGCTGCCCTTGCCTCCCCCAGGATCGCTTAAAGGGGTCTCAAGTGTCATTTTGCAAAAAGCCACGAGGATGGCAGATGGGATGTCCCTTAGCAACACACACCCAAGTGACCCCTGGTTGGCAGCCCTGGAGTGGGATTGCTGGGCAAATGATGGGGCAAATATGGAGCCATGGATCCCTGGGCCAGGAGCCTGGTTCGGAGACCCCAGCATCTGGTGGTTTCTCTGGTCACTTTTTCCACCTGGGTCTCCTCATCTCTGAAAAGGTCACAGGTCATGATGAAATGAAATGAGACAATGTAGAGAGTTCCCAGGAGCCACCGTGCTGCTGGGGGTGGCCCTGTGCACGTGACAGACAGGTGGGCAAAATGGAGGGAAGTGCTCCAGCTAGTCAGAACCTCGATGTCTCTCTCCTCTTCCTCCCTCTCTTCTTCCCTCCTCTTCCTTCCCTATCCTGGCCCCGTCCCCTTCCTCTCTCTCCTCTCTCTCCTCCCCTCTAAACACAGCTCTCCTGGAAGACCCCACAGGTCCCAGCTCCCTAAAGGCAGGACTCTTTGATGGCACACCTCCAGAAAGTCCCCTGTGAGCTGGATGTCCCTCTGACACCACGGCATGACGAATCTTCCCTCCCCTGGGAAGCAGATGGCATGAACAGACTGCTCATATTTTCTCTTGTTCATAAACATGACACAAAACTGCACATACATTTCCCAGAAGATGAGCCGCCTGTTGCCGTGAGAAACAAGGTCATGTAATATCTGCACATCTTCTCCTCCAAGATGGTTCAGAGTTATGCTTCTTTGCTTTTCCTACTTCTATTAGAGAATCATGGGGAAACTTCCAGAATGAGATCAAAGAGCCTGGTTTGGATATCTCCAGGAGACATGACAGGTCATCCCACAGTGGCCCACCAGGGACCTGGAGACTTGGCTTCAAAGCTGGAGTGACCCACTCTGTCATGGTCATGGCCCCTACTCACCAGCTGGACAGTACCCATCCACATCCTGTTCAGGTGATGGAGACCACCACCTCCCAGCCAGGAGCTGGAAGGTGCAGGGCATGGGCTGAGTGGTCTTCAGCATTGTATTAGTGATCAATCAAAGGACAGCATATTTTGCTAATCTCCTCTCATTGGGACCAAAAGAATCAAAGTTAGAACAATCACAGAGAGGAGGGTCAGCCCTAACTCCTAAAAGATCCAAGGCCTGCCCTTCCTCTCTCCCTCAGCCCCAAGCTACCATCTTTCTCTCAACCAGGAAGTGGCCATTTCTGCTGTGGAAGGCCAAAGGCATGACTGACCCATCAGCATGGACCAGTCACAAATCATAGCTGCTGAGGTGTGCCCTGTCCCTCTCACTTTGGGACCTCCAGCCTGGAAGACGGCCTGGGGTACTTCCACACCAACCTGCACATCCCAGGACAGTGGGGTCACCGGAGTTCACTGGAGTCCACACGTAGTTGACATGCCCAACCCCCTGTCAGTTCCCAAGGAGACTCATCTTCTTGGGACAAAATCCAGGCAGCCCACCTCAACACAGAAGTCCCTCCCTCAGGTGTTAACGCCCTTCCCTTCTCACCATCTCATGAGCCCCTGCATCCCAGCCATTCTCTGACCGTGTTTGGTCTCTTCTTTCTTTAGTAGCTTTGTTCCCGGTTCTAAAGAGTCCAGGTTGGTGTTCCGAGTTCTAAAGATTCTGCCATAGGACTTTGGGTTCTGAAGTTCTGAGATCCTCAATATGAAAGAGTCGTGTGTCCTCGGCTCCAAGCCGGGGCTCTGGTTTGATGCTGGCTTGGTCCCGGGAAGATGCCTATCACCTTTTCCTCCAGAAAAGTCAAGGATAATTCCATTGCCTGTGGCGTGTGAGCGATTAATGTGTGCAAAACCTTTCTCACTCCTACCAAGGACCCCACCTCTGTTTCTGAAGACCAGGAGGTCACCCAGAAATCAAGATGAGATTTGGAACCAGGAAACCAGCATTGAAGCCCCAACTCTATCACTTACTGGCCATTGATCTTGGACTAAATCCTGAGCGTTTCTGAACCTTCATCTTCTTGTCATGACTTCTGTCATTCTGGTCCTTGATGCTGTGTGAGTCACTTTATGGGTAATAATATTGGGGGAGCTGGCTGTATGCACCTTCAGCTGTTAATCATGGTAATTAAAAAAATAGATGAAAAACAGATAAACAGATGTGTGTTTAATATTTTCTACCAATGAATAATGGTCAGGATACAAGATTCAGACAAGCTTTTGACAAAATCTAGTACTCATTCATGATTTTTAGGAATGTCTTAGCAAACTAGAAAAACTTAGGGAACTTTCTCAGATTCAATCATATTTCAAGAGGCTTTTACTGTCAAAGTTGAGTGCAACGTCATCTGGGATGGGGGCCGAGGTCCATCTAATTTAAAAACTAAATATTAGGAACTTAGGAGGAGAGATGTGTCAAAACACAGCTCAGTAAGGCTTTCAGAGATTTGAGATTCAAGCTC